ACAGAAACATATCATTAGTCTACTGTCTAGACATTCAATAAAAAAAACTTGTTGCCCGAACGGGCAAGTGCAATTGCTACTTGCCCAGGGGCGAATTTTGGTTGCCCCGGGCCATCGGGCAAGCGGGTTTGTCGCGCCCTGCTTTCGTCACACGCCATCTTCAGAGGATCACTTTAAGTTTAGTTTCTTTGTCTCCGTTATTTCGTATTGTAATTCTCTCTCTTCCTCTTTAGTTGGTAACTTGAAGTTTTTCCACTGCGATCCGCAGTGTTGATTTTTTTTATTCGTTCTGTCTCTATTTCTTCTTCGATATAGTCTCTCGGACATTGTGAAGACTAATATTTACGACGTTACATAGTCGTGTGATTTCTAGTCGGCACGATGACTCTCCCTGGGGTTACAGTGCAACCGGTGGCAGCGTAGACACGTCAGAGTAGCTACTCAACCATGTTACGCTTGCTCAGCCCATCTTGGCGTGCAGGCTACTTAAATAGTTTACACGCACGCGCCACCTGTCGTGCTCCTGTTACGCTGCGATTGGGGTTACGATTTTGTTAGTGTTAAAGTAAGGGTAAGGGTAAGTGTTAGAGTTAGGGTAAGGGATAGAGCTTCTGTTAGAAGAATTGAAGTTATTTGATTAGAATTTTTCTCTGTGAGATGCAAAATCTTTTATTCCACTCTCCACACATCACCCACGCGTATTGCTAAATCTGGTGACGTCACGACTGGTGGATTTGTAGCTGTGACCCCATCTTCGTAGCATACCTTGTTACGTCTGGGGCAGTGATATACAGTGTTGCAGTGCGTCAATGATGATATTTATTTCGACATCTTTTTCTCAGCAGGAGAGCGTTAGCGAGAGCTCGAAACGAGGCAGAACTGAGCACCTGCGATCTGTCTGATGGAGCCTTCTCATTCAGATATGCCACGCCCTGGAGGAAAGAAGTCCTACGTGTGTGATGTGTGTGGATACGCCGGCTCCAAATTACGTTATCTCAAGAGACATATGCGCTCTCACACGGGAGAGAAGCCATATGCATGTGAGAGGTGTGAATATAAGTGTTCTACGTCTGATATTCTTAAGACACACATGTACACTCACACGGGTGAAAAGCCATATGCGTCCGATATATGTGAATACACTCTCTCCCTTCCTCACAACCACCACTACGCTCGCGATCGACGCATATCAATGATAACATGTTAATATAGCGAAGTCATTAAAGTTACACAGCTGTATATTTATTACTGTACTACCAGTAGGTATAGCAAAGCCTATCATAGATTTTAGATCTGTATTAGCAGTATCCTAAATATATGCTCTGTCAGAGCGCAAACGCGGTGGTGGGGGAAGGGCGCACTTGATTCGGTTGCCAGTGAGTTTATCAGAAGAATACCTGGCTACAGTACACATCAGTTGAGCGCTGTCGCTCTGCGGCACTTGTTTTTTTCCATATTGTAATTGTTGTAACAACACTCTTCTCATTAAACGTTCTTCCTCTAAATTAATTATGTATTGCAATAACATTAATCTTTTATAATTTAGTTTTTGTCAAGAATTGGTATTATACCTAGCTCACCTCTTAGAGTGATTAGTGGGGTTTTACTATGTGCACCTAGTATTCTGGTGGTTTTATTTTCTTGTACTTGTAGGGTATTACTATTAGTACTCTGTGTCTGCTCCCCATCTAGCGCCCTATAGATTATTTAGTTAGGTGGTTACAACCCTACATACACTGTTGTCAAGTCCCCACTCTCTAATCTTGTGCAAATAGACGCCACAAACAAAATTTTAATCTAAATCCTTAATTATGTATTAATTATTTACTTACTTAGTCTTCGTCCCGGAAGCCGCCCCGTCATCAAGTTATTGATTGATAATATAAGGAATTTAGATTAGTGCTTGTTGGTTAAATAATATTGACTTCGCTCACTTTGGCGAATCACTTGCTAAATGTATGACGCCACGGAGTTCACGAAAAAGCGCGCCCTTTTTCTCTGCCAATCAATCCGATTTGCCGATCACCTAGCTTATCTCTTAACCACACTCAAACTTCAAATCTGATTTTCAAAACTAGCTTAGTTGATAGCTTTGCACTGCTGGTCGGATTATCAACACCACCACCAACAAGTTGAACTACAATGCAAGAACAACAACAACAATAACAACATGTTAATTCGCTGTCTGCATCTAATAGTATGTTACAGGTTTTACATTTACTGATGCACACTGTTGTTGCTAGATACAATAATGTAACCCAACAAGAGTAGTGTTACAACGCGAGCCTATTCTTTTCTTTGGAGGAGCCCCTGAGTGATTAACTCAGGGCGATTTTATGGTGCGTTTTTCGAGACTAGAACTTCCAAACTGGGTTTATTCTAAACACGAACCTTTCTCCGCTATCCTGGGACTTACTATGTATCACAATACTCTGGTCTATTACAATATAATATTAGCCGAACGCTATGCGCATTGCCATTGGGAATGCGTACGTCACAGGTCAACAGAAATGGCGCTTGAAATATCACCGCTCGTCGCTTCGAAATTTTGTAACAGGTTATATTAGTTTAATACAGAGTATTGTGATACATAGTAAGTCCCAGGATAGCGGAGAAAGGTTCGTGTTTAGAATAAACCCAGTTTGGAAGTTCTAGTCTCGAAAACCACACCACAAAACCGCCCTGAGTGAATCACTCAGGAGCTCCTACAAAGAAAAGAATATATAGGCTCGCGTTGTAACCCTACTCTTGTTGGGTTACATTATTGTATCTATGTTGTTGCCAACAATGTTGGTGTTTACCGTTACTTAATGTTATACTGTTAGCGTTAGTTTCTGTGCATGTACTCATACCGGCATTACGTGATTTAGTTTGGCATATAAACAGAGCGTGTGGGGCAATAACACTAATAGCCGTATCAGATCAAGGGGCTACAAAACATATCTAGAGATGCTAGCCACGTAACTCTCCTTCAATCCACAATACGTGGCCGCACATCGAGCGTCATCGTTACTTTCGTCACACGCCATCTTCAGAAGATCACTTTAAGTTTAGTTTCTTTGTCTCCGTTATTTCGTATTGTAATTCTCTCTCTTCCTCTTTAGTTGGTAACTTGAAGTTTTTCCACTGCGATCCGCAGTGTTGATTTTCGTCTTCGATATAGTCTCCCGGACCTTGTGAGACTAAATATTTTACGACGTTACTTAGTCGTTTGAATTTCTAGTGCGGTACGATGACTCTCGCGCTGGGTAACCGTGCAAACCGGGTGACAGCGTAGACACGTCAGAGTGGC